GAAAATATTTTTAGTTTCTTTATTATACTATTACCTTTATAATTATTATTAGACATTTTTATAATTTATAAAAATGAGTTTTTTTTTTTAAAAAAAAAAAAAAATTATTGTATAACAATAACAGAATGTAATAGTAATACATATTGTCAAGGCATGTAGATCTTACCGTTTGTATGTATGTGATGTGAGGCACAGTACTAGAATAATTATAGTATTAAATGGGGAGAATCTGTGTTACGGGAAAAAATTTTTAGTTTTTAGACGATTCGTGTAACTCCAACGACCGGCCATTTTTATATACCTTATTTTTACCTAATACTAACACTAACACCACTAACACTGACACTAACACTGACACTAACACTAAGAGATAGAGGATAAGGTAAAGGTAGGTAGGAGAGGAATCTACCTCATGGAATAAAGGTTGTTTAAATATTATTTTTTTTTAAACAAAAAAAAGATTTGGATCAGCCGCGACGGCACAGTCAAGTGCATAATGAAATACTATTATGTATTGTCTATTCTTATTGTTGATTATTGATTTAATTAATAAGTTAATTAATTAATAATTATTGATTAATAATTTTGAGTATCTGAAAATGTTTCAATATTCGAATTTGATAAATTTAATTTTTAGCAAACAAAAATGAGTATCATTAACGAATTAGAATGTGGTTAATAATACATGTATTACCTTCTAATAAGAAAGATTTTTTAACATCCGAAACTGGCTCTAATGTAAATTTATGAAAAAAAAAGATTTTAGAATATCATCAAACCATTAAATTAATTCATTTAATAATAAGAAGCTTCATATTTTTATTCCTTTTTCTTGTTTGGTGAAATTTTTTTTATTAAACTCTTACCTTTATAATTACTATCAAACATTCATTGTTATAACTTATAAAGTTTTTAAAAAAAAAACTTATATTTCAATCAAATTATCTTGTATAACGATAACAGAATGTAATAGTAATACATATTGTCATGATAATTTGTATCGGAAAAATTTTTAGACGCAAAATAATTTTTTTGGTTGTTTTCAAATTCTCTTTCACACATTATGAAAAATAAAAATTACGAAGCACGTTTTTTGGCAGTCGATCATCCTTTTTATTTTTAACCTTTTGTGCAGTGGATTAAGTCCCCGACTAATTGCATCTCTAATTGTATGTTGTATAACGATAACAGAACGTAATGGTATACAAAGGTATGAAGAGATCTTACTGTAGTATGTGACGCTCCTCGTAAAAAAAAAATAATTGCGCTATTCCGTAGGATATTTTACTTCATGTATAGTTTATATTGCTTCATTGATAAATATCACTTTTTTTTAGGCGAAATTTTCAGTTGCACTCATCGAGTTTTTTTTTTCGTCATGAATTTATTTTATTTACTGCTCCAGTTACTTATAATTAATTGATTTACCAAATCCGTTCGGATATTTGCTTCTCTCTATTTTAACTGCGAGGTATTTACATTTTTTTATTATCTGCGACAAATATTTGAAATTTTTTATATAAATTGTAAATTTTTTTTTTTGATTTTTAGTATTTTATTGCCGCGCGAACTATTGGATGCGTTAGCTCATTAAGAAAAAGGCATATACAGTAAATAATGATAACTTGAAGATAAATTAATTCAATATGTTTGATTTTTTTTTCTTATCTTTTATAAATATATATAGGTAAATTGATATTATAAAAGAAAATGACTTTTGACATAAAGTATACGATTTGCTCATCTAGTAAAACAAAAATATTAAATTTTTAAAATTCAAATATTGTATTTTATATCAGAAGGTTTCGATGGGTTTGGCCGTAAAAACTTTTGCCACCCGTCGAAACTTTCGCAATTTTCCTTTAATAAAAATATTTGGCAAAACGTTTTCGATGCCTGTCGAAATCTCTGGGTTTTGCTCGGCAACCTTACTTTATCCCAATTGTATAAACATTTCCGGGACGTTTTCATTTATAGGCTGCTTGTGAATTCATTTCTTTGAGAACCATTTGAACCTTACTTAAAATTAATATTCACTTATTTAATAGAATAATGTAATTCTATCCTAATTATAAAAATAGCATATTGAGTTAATAATCTAATGTAATCTCACTAATGAAAACACGATACTTTATGCGATCTTTGTAACTTGATAAGTTCATTAACCTAAACAATTTTTCGTAATGTTATAAAGTACCGTCAATTCATCTTATATTAATACTCATTTAACATGTTCGAAGTTTTTACTATCACGAATAATTTTACACTTTCGGAAATTCTTTTCACCGATCGATGAACACATCTCAAAAGAAATTGATATCATGTGTAATAAATTTATTATTTTGTTCCTCATCATAATGAAGTTCGAGATGAAACGTGGATTTATTAAGAAATTAAAAAAAACACCCGTGATGATGAATTTCTAGCTTATTAAAAGGATAATAATAATGAAGTTTTGCGTCTAAAAATTATTTGTATTGCTTGCTAAATCACATTATAAAAGTCGTACATGAGGATTCGAAATTTTGAATAAAATATGTTTGTAGAATTTATAAATATACACACGGTAACCCTTAAGAAAAACGCAAGTAAGTTTACGATTAAAAGTCCTTGAATCATTAACAATTTCAAATTTTTTCGTTAACTAAAAAACTTAAACATCCGATTTACAGGTCTATGACTACTATCTTCATTTGGGTATACCATAATATTTGTATGTTCTACATACGAACCTCTATATCTACTCATTTTATTCTCGACTAGTGTAGTAATTTTACCCGATTGGTTTTTACGTCGTTTATACAAAAATACGAGCGTTCCTAGTAAACCCAACGTTAAAATTGATATCACTACAGATAATACTACTATTATTGAAGAGACTGGCGCTTTCACGTTAATCGAAGGTGGTGACGTGTTTGGTGAATCTGGTAATATAGGTATGTTTGGTGTTATGAGTGATTTGTTTGGCTGGAAACTTGTAATCCATGAATATTGTTTTGTGTCGAGTATGTAAAGTTTGTTGCTATTCTTGACATCGTTTCTCTTTCCTGAAAAGGTTAAAAATAAATCGTATTACTTCTTTTTTTTTTAAAAAAAAGAAAAAATTAAATTAAATAAAAAAAAGGTTAACATACCAAACATGATGAATATATATCTATCTTGTACAAGTTCTGCACAGTGTTCATTAATCGGAGGAGCAGCTAATTCAGAAATGTCTGGAATCCTCCATTGGAATGGATCTTTGGCTGTTTCTAATATTACGACGTTGGGTGTTACATCAAGTCCTCCGACTATTACAACATCTCCATTTGGAACTAGGTAATAAGGGAAGTTTAGTGAAGATCTCATGAGTGAAAGAAAGGTAATAATTTATTTACTTACGAAGTGTAGATGTATGATATCTACGGTGGTCAGTCATTCCTTTTGGTTGCGGTACAATTTGTCTACTCCAAGTATTATTAATCGTATTATATATTTCGATCTAAATATATATTATAAGTTAATAAATTTCATTATTATATGACATCAATCCTCTCTTGTACTTTACCTGGCTAATAGGTCTATGTACGGAAACATTATTCTCTGGTGGTCCATATCCTCCAATGATGATCAACCGTCCATCATTTAACAATACAGAAGAAAAGTCACATGCTAATATTGGAACTTGAGGTGTCGCTAACCGAGTCCAAGTGATCGAAAGGGTATCAAATAAATAAGTATCACCTAGAAACGTGCCATCATTACCACCATGAAGATAAGACTTTTCATTATTGTCACTTAACATGTCAAATTGAACTCTCCAATTCAATTCGGGAGCGTTTGACATTGATTTCCTTTTCCATTCATCCTTTGTTATATCGTATTCTAATAGAGTTTGTTCACCAAGTACTTTATTTTGACTAACCGGGTCAAGTATGGCACCACCGACGACCAATATAAAATTATTATTAAGACCGCCAAGAACCACTCCGCTTGATGCAAATGCCAAAGGTGGGGCTTTCAGCCGTTTCCATGGTGGTGAATCTGTCGTCATTGAAGTGGTAAGATCTAGGGATAATATTTCGGATAAGGCTAAATTGTTAACATCATTATATCCTCCAAGAACATATAATATGTCATCTTTGATTACACTTGTGGCATCCGTCCGTTCTTGTATTATTTGACAGCTTATAGGATGAATGATAACAAAAAAAAAGCAAAGAAATATGATTGTATTAAACATTTTTTTTTTTTTTTTTTTTTTTAAAAAAAAAAAAAGCAGGACAGAAGAAATTTTGAACTAAATCGGTATAAAACTTAGATTAAAGGTGATACAATGTGTTTGAAACCACGGAGAATTTTTGAAACCTTGTTATTAATTTTTATATTTAACGGCAAAGTAACCAAAAAGACAAAACAAGGATAAGTGATCAACATGACTTGTAGCGCAGCAGTTGCGGTGAAAATCAAATCGATTTCGTCGGATGTCAATTTTATTTATTATATTTATTAAATTAATTATTTCAAATAATGGTATTAGGATTTTTGTATAAATAGTGTAGTTTGAACTGGTGTTCCAAGGTTTTTGTAAATGTCTTGAGAAAAGACTTTAGATTCTTCTCGTCTCCACATAGTTTTGAATCGTGAAAATTAACTACAACAGTGAATCGTAATAATTCTTATTGTAAGGTTGCTTGTTGACCTTTGTTTCGGTAAATTTCCAGATTAACATCGGAATCGCTAAATCGTCCAATATAAAGATAGTGAACGCACAAATCAAATTATCCCGCCTACTGAGCAAAATTGTCCTTAGAAAGAATTATATATAAAATGAAGGTCTTTTCCCTGGTTAGTTGGTTTCAGATTTAGTTTTAAAAACGAATTTCGGAAGTACGGAATGCTGAGGCATACCTATTTAAAAACTTCTGCTTGCCGTTCCTTTGTTTGTAATCTATACGTAATACTATGTAGAATATCTGTTTTTCGAATCCGAAATTTTGTATATTTAACTTATATCAATGAGGGCTTTGTGTAAGAAAAAAAAAATGTGTACACCTCTTTCTTTAAAATACATGTCTTAGTAATGAAATTTGTCACGTATTATTTGTATTATTTGTCAAATGGATAATTTCTTAATGGTGTAATGATGGTTAAAATCACATAGGCGGGTAGATAAGGATGATCATTTGAAGCACGTAACAATTTTTGTTTCCACACTTTACTGTATATAGAACAAAAGAAGGTGGAAAAATAATTCTGGAAGGTATTCACAACTAAAATAGAAGTAAATGATCAGCATGAAACTATAGATCTTGGATGGAAAAATCGGTAAATTTTTTTGGGTATTACACAAATGTCTTGTACGGTTTTTTTTTGAATGTATGTATGGTATGTATGCTTTAAAAACTATACATGTATGGTTTTAATACTGTACAAAACCATACCTTACATACATTGCTAACCGTACTGTACAGGTTTGTGTAATACCCGTTTGCAATATGCCCAATTTTTTTTTTTAAAAAAAAATTTATTTAGTAAATTTAAAAATTTTTGTTAAAAATTCTATTTACACCACTCATCGAGTTAATTTTACAAAATAATCTTCCCATTTATGTTTCCTTTATCCAAAGGAATTTATTCTTCCCCATTGCATTCACATGCCAATTACAATTACTTACTATTCGTACTCGATTACAAGAAGTAATTCACCAAACAAATAATATTTTGCATAAACACGCTATAACTTGTTAAAAATTTACATAATATGGAACTGTATACAGTATCTTGTCATACACGCTTATTTAACTGGGGAGTTGTTTACAACAATAATTTCTGTGCATACATAAATTTAAAATTATCATCAATAATTTATTAAATTAACAAGGAAATAATTGGTTGTCTGAAAAAGAAAGAACGACCAACTCTCGTTTAATGTTAATTTTATTTTAACCGAAATAGAATTTCGCAGATTTTTTACCTTTACCATTTAGAACCTCATTAAACCCTTAAATTTCGTCCAAGATCCTTTATATTTGCTTATTTTTTTTTATAAAAATTATGAATCAAAAAGGAAGTAAAGTTTTTATTTAGGCGGCGCAGTAAATCAAAAACTTAGTTTTGACTCTCCCTACAACATTTACATTCATTCATGGTTTAAAACTTAAAAGGTTCAAATTTTTTTGTTAATAATATAATTAAATGAATATATTATGTACGTATTTTAGTGTTTTCCACCTTCTAAATTTCAAAATCACGGTAACAGGAACTATGTTCACATAATAAATGTTTATCGTCGATCTGAAAAAATGAAAATATATTATTTATGCAATTGGATTTTAATATTTTTTCAATAAAAACTTTGTACATATTAGATATTACATAAACTTTAAATCGAACTGATGATATAGATTTTGTAGGTTTGTTATTTGTATTTGAAAAAATACTTAAGGAAGAAATAAACTTATCAATTATTCATAAATCGTCCATCAATGAAATTAATCGAAAAAATTATCGTATTTTAAAATCACTTAATAGATGCCAAATATCTTCCCCATCGACAACATTTTTTTCACTCCACGTGACCCTGTTTAATTTGTCATCCGTGTCAAACCTCCGTATTTTTTTTTCATTTTTACTATGCATTCCAGGGACAGAATTTTTTTCGGTGTAAAAAATTTATTTGTCACTTTATTTGCACCGGATAATTTCAGTAATGCAGGCTAAAAAATCTCGTGGGGTGAAAAATGCTGACGTAGTTGGTTATTATATTATTGACCCGATCCGTCAGAATACTATGTATATGTGCAAATAAATAAAATATGCGACTAATTCTGGTAAAAATTGTTTAAATTTTAAATTTTAGGTAAAATTATTAAATGAAATCTATATTGAAATAGAATTTTTCAGAAATTCGCATTCTTCTTTCACTTAAAATATCTTTATAATTAGAAAACTGCGCTATATATCTACTCCGGCTACTGGTAACCAAATATAAATCGTGCTATTTTTGATAAATTTGGTAATATTAAACTTTTTTCTTTCCAATATTTATCTAAATCCAATCCTCCTATTATGTATTAGTTATTTACCGCAGCCGTGAACCTGATGATGTCAGCGATTGAGCGGTAAAAAACTATTATATTTCCCGATTACTAACGCCCGTGATAAGAAAAATCACATGAATTATATAAGTCACATGTCATTGTGACGTAAAATACTGTTTTTTACATGATAAATAATTTTTTTTTTACAATTTTTTTTTTAATTTTATTTCTTAAAAAATGAAATCAAAGAAGACCGTAAAATTTAATACTGCTCGTGAACTTTTAAATAATCCATGTTTACAACCTAAAACATCCAAAAATACTGACATTGAAAAGGAAATTGTATTCCTGTGCAACAAATTCAAGATTACAAAAAGAAACCGTTACAAATTATAAATCTTGAATCACAAGATTTACCAATTAATATGCCTTTCAATAATATAGTAAAGAAAAGGCTCCGATGTTTAAATGATTGTCACTTTCAAAATGTTAAGTTTTACTTTAAATAATTTTTATTTATAATCATAAATGATTGTAATAATGTAATATTTTTAAAAAATGCATTTTTCTATATCAAGCTTATTAAATAAAATATATTAAATATTTTGCGGTACGATTTTCGCTTGATATATCACGGTAATTGCGTCATGTTGATATTTTCACGGAAAATTCAACTCCGATAGTGAATCTGGTAATATATCAATATGAAACATCACGGGCGAACGATTAGTAAGCAGGTAATATTTCTTCTAATCTACTGTAAAATTCCATCCATCTAATAAAACATTTGTAGGATTTTGGGGAATTCAATTAAATGGTATATATTTGCGTTGAATTTACTCTTTCTATTGCCATTACCTGATCAGCAAATAATATTTATTGCCAAGCATATTTTGTGATTTTCAATAAAATATAATTATGGTTAGTTCATTAATCGCCCGAAGTGAGTGACAAAGTATTATGGCTGAAAACAAAATGGGAGTTCGTCAATAGAAACGACCAAACTTGGTAATCTATTTCTATTAACAGAAGCCCCAAGATAAGTATTTACCAAATAGGACTTCTATTGACGAAGCCAAAATAAGTATTGCCCAAATGCTATAAAAAATCGGCTTTTTTTTTAATAAAAAAAAATAAAAATAAAAATAAAAAAAAATGAGTACTAATATTCTCACCAAAAAAATTAATCTCGAAAAAAACCTTCACGAAAAAGTTTCAATAAAAGATAGAATTTCTCAAATTTTTCCCGATACAAAAGTTCATGCTATCTCAATTGATTATGAGGAAATTCCTTCAAGCAAACAATCTTTGCTTAAAGATACGATGACCTCTCATGGATTGGCAGCGGCCATTCTTCATGCTTACAACAATCATCAACATTTACGCTTATCGCCTGATGATATCTGGTTAACCATCGCACAGGGAGTTAGTCATCATATTAATTATAATGCAGAAAAATTTCGTCATTATTTTGTCGATCATGAAGGCAAAAAAGAGATAAGTATTTCTGCCGGTGATATTTTAGTTGAAAAAAATTCTTGCATTGAGGGAGATTGGCCTGAAGCGGTAAAAAGATTGGTCGTGAAAACTGATAAAGCTGTAGAGAAAATTGATATAAAATCTCTTTTAGAATGTAATTTTTCTACTACAACAAATAATTCGCTTACCGCTAGTCGTATCGTTCTTTTGGATATGGTTAAAGCATATTTTTCATATAAAGTATGTATGTTGTGCGGAATTCCTAAAGTTACCCTCGAGGGTACTTTGGAAGATTGGGAAAAGGTACAAGAAAAAGTTATTCGATTACGACAGTTAAATTTAGATCTCGATTTTTGGTTGGATAGATTGGATCCTGTTATTTGCAAGTTAATCGAAACTTATAAAGGTGAAATTGATGAAGAGTTCTGGTCAAAGATAGCCTCGAGTATATCATTTGGTTCAGGCCCTAGAAATATTAGTGGATGGATGATGGCCTTTTATCCTTATGAAAAGGATGGAACAAAGCTAACTTGGAATTCAATTGCACCGAGAGATATTCCTGATGGAAGGGTTGCGGTCCCCTTTACAACTGATACTGATTTAGAGTTAAAATTTATTGCTGGATTTTTGGGTGCGCAACAAGAACTTCTCGGGAATTCTGATGAAGTGGTTGTCTCACCAATGATTGGTTGGTGTGTAATTGATGATAAAAATGCGAAGGAAAAGAAGGAAGACGTTTGTTAAATTTTTTCAATACATTAATTTTAAAGTTTAATAAAGTCTATGTAAATTTTATGTTATGTGCAAAAATTATTTAAATTTGTTAGCTATTGTTTTCTTACATTATCTTAAATAATTTTACGACTTTTCTATAATAAATAGTGAAAAATGAAATTATTTCATAAACTCGATTGGTATTGTCGCGAATTAATGATCATCACCCAAACGTGACCATCCCCTAGATCAAACTTGGGATATCCGAGTTTAGATCGAATGTCCCCAAATCTGACCATGTCTCAAACCTACCCATATTGTCAAATACACTCAGGAAATGAATCTGACCTCTACCCCTAATGACAGCTCAATAGGATGGTACTGCGGAGTGCAATGCAGTATAAAGTTCGTTCCCTACAAAATATAAAAAAAGAAATGAAAAAAAACACTTCTCAAGTTATTGCTAAAAAGTACTCTCATCATGGACTTACAAATCTTTTTCCAAGGTCCGTTCCCTATATAATATAAAAGAGAACATTAATAATGTTAAAAAACAAATTTTTTTTAAAAAAGTCAAAACTTACCTTTTATGTTTGAACCTAAAAAGTAAAACAAATACACAATAATATTAAACCTGAAAAACTGCTTTTTTTTCATTTATTTAACTGATGTCAATGGAAATAAACTTTCCTATTTCTATGTAATTATTTAAAATCGCGTGATTATGCAATAAAGCTGAGTCATTCAATAGTATATTACCAAATTATAGATAAACCAATAATCTAGACTTTGCATGATCAACACTGCATCTGATAAATTACATTCTTCTATAAAAACTTAAATTTTAATACATTAAATTTTTTAAATTTTCATTTAAATATTTTAATTTCTTAAAATAAAAATATAAAATTTATTACTTACTTATATTATTTAAAATCAATGATTTATAAATAAAAAATAATAAAATAAATTAATTCTAAGACTTATTTTTTAATTATTTTTTATAAATATCATTAGAAATTCTTAAATAGTCAACAATTTACAATAATAAAGATATTCTTTTGCTAATATAATAATATAAATAATAAAAATAATTTAAATAATATATTTATACAATATAAAGAAATATGATTAAATTAAAAGGTAATAGAATGTTATTAAAAAAAATTTGCTAATTAGTATGTTAATATTATCAGAAGAGTTTTTAAATTTATTTAATATTAAAAAATTAAATGCTAAATAAAAAGAAATATAATAAAATAAAAAATATTTTAAAATATTAATAATAATAAATCATAAAAATTATTGATATCTATAGACTTCTATATGTATTAAAAAGAATAAAAAGAAAGGAAACTACTAAAAAATTTTTTTTGAATTAATGTTAAATCTGAATTTATTTTATTAAAAAAATAATATTAAAATAAACTTTTTACTTATTTGAAAATTCTAATTATAAAACTTATTTATAAGTAAATTTTATTAGTATAATATAATTCATTTAATAATAATTAAATTTTTATATTTATATATATAAAGATAATATAATCATATAAAATAAATTAAAAAATTTACTAAAATAAAATTTTATTTTATAAGTTAAATAAGATTTTTAATAAAATATATTTAAATTAACTTAAAAAAAATTTTGAAAATTTTTACTCTTTTTTTACAAAATATCTAAATAGTTAACTATAATCTAAAAAAAATAATTATTTACTAAAATTATAAGATTATTATAAAAATTAATAATTTGAAATTTAAAATGATAAAATTAATCATAAAATAAATAATTAAATTTTAAATTAAATTTTTAAAAATAATAGTATATTTTAATAAAAAATAAATTCATTTATTTCTGATTTTTTTATCAACTATATTTTTAAATAAGAAATAATTATAATATAGAATATTCTATATATGGGGCTAAGCTATTAAAATCACCTTACGGGATAAGAAATTGATTTTGAGTAAATAATGATTAAAAAAATGCTA